GACTTTAAATTGAGCATGCTTTGGTTAATTAGGAACAATATCAAAAGTTTAATGTGTTAGACATACGTCAAGTAAGTTCGCATCTTCAGTGCTCCAACAACTTCAGACCTGACAATTTGCCCATTACTGTTGACAAGAATATTTACATTCTCAATTACATCCAGAAAAACCTGGAGAGAAAGAGCAGACTGTCATCATTTGCAAAAAGCCAAACACAGCAAGAATTTGTTCCTGTCTTGAAACAAAAAAAGCACTCACTTCGTTCTTCTTGTACTGTATTCCCTCACTCCTCCAGGAGACGGCATTTGTCACAGCCATTGGAGGTCTCTGTGTAACTTCCATTCTATATGCATCAGTCTTGATAAATTCACTGAGGATATTTGCTTCAGTATACTGAGGGTAACCAAAGTCCATCATCTCGTCAAGTAACTCATACTGCCAGCACCAGAAATGAATTTCAGCATCAAACAATAACAATTATATTTATTTTCAAAATTTCGAGGATCATTTTTTGTTGGGCAAGTAAGAGCAATGGCAGAAGCTTAACATACCACTACAACAAAGTTATCCCTCAGTGATTCCTCCTCTAACTCCTCGAAGTAATGCTTGAAGACCTATTACATAGATCACCATTTCCATCATATGAAACAATACAGTTACTTTTGTCCCTGTTTCTTTCCAAAACCAAATCCGCGAGAAAGATGGAGCCTTATAACTGAAGAATTAACTAGCCATTACTTACATCAACTACGCGGTGAAGGAAGAAGAAAAGACTGGCAGCATTACAATTCTGTCTGGATGCTATCATCAGGTAAACGTTACTATGTTGCACAAACATGTAAGTCACCCCATTATCGTAAGCAACTGGATCATTTGACTGTGAATCACCCTGAACAATTAAACAACATGATAAGCAAAACAATATTGAGAATGGATAATCTGATTTTAATCAGAAAGCTTCAAAATGCTGATTCAGAATCAAACTCTAATCCAAACCATATAACCAATAATCAAACTTGTTCACTACTTCCAACAGACTTAATTTCCGATTAACAAGAATCTCACATATGAAAACATACATGAATCCAGTTTCTAAAACCGATTAATTGCTAGGAAAGATTTAGATTTCGATTTGGAATCTCCCAAACGAGAATCCACAAGTTCGTGAACTACTTCCAGGTTCAACGCAAATTCTACAGTAACCAACCAACAACTCGGCATCCAGACTCAACAAAAAACAAAAAAAAAACCCAGCAATAAACACCGATCAATGAGCAATAAGAGGAAGATGATAAATCTAATCGGAGAAAACCTCTTTCTCGATGAGCTTAGTGAAGAACCGCTCGGCTTGAGCGGCGGAGACATCGCCGCGGTAATCACGCCAGACGAGAACACGACCCTTGATATCGAGCAGAAACAGCGCAGAGGCCGCTCCTGCCATGTGTATGTTCTTCTTCTTTGCTTTCTTCTCTTGGATTATCGAATCAGATCCAAATGCGGCGGATTAATCAACGAGATCTGATGGATTATGCTTCTATGGAGAAGAAGAAGAAGTAGACACATCTAGAGGGAGAATGAGATAGATCTTTGGCAGATGAGATTCTCCATTTCGCAATTGTTCGTCTCTCCCAAAAGAAAAAGATTTCACGATCTGATGATTTCGTTATATGTTCTTCCTTTGGGGGTTAATTCATGTGAAACGGTGAAAAGAAAACGGAAGAATTTAGCAAATAGCTACTCTTTGATTTGAGCTTCCCAGTTTTCGCATCTACGTTTTTACCAATACGACGTCGTTTCATTCTATTGCTTTTTCTGTCCAAAGTTAATTTTGTATTTTATTTTGGTATAAGTAAT